ACCTTACCAAAAATAACTGCACAAAATGAGGAAGGATTAAAACTAACGCACTCTAAAAGTTTTTGTTCTGGGGATCATGGTTGACTGGATATCTTTACATTTTCTGATTTTTCATAGTATTCAAAATATGGAGATTACTGCTTGCTGCAACCTCACAAACAAACGTTGTTTTTATTAGCTGCCAAGAGTTATAAATTATGTAGTAGGTTCTTCCTAGCAGCACTTATGCAAAAGAATTACAAAGGAAAGGTAAAACATAAAACTGGTGAAGAATTTACCACTGATCCACTGTAGATTAACGTCTGAAAGATTATAGATGTGTTACTGTAACATCGACCGCATACTAGAAATAGGCTCAAAGTTTAACCAAAATCATCGTGAAACAAAGACGCGACCTGCGTTAGGGATACTGTTGTGATCAGGAACAATAATTAACATGTACAGGCATAAAATTTTCCAAACAAAACCGAATTCTATTTCGCGAATCTTTATTTTTCACCGACATAAGCATGACAAAGCTAAATATCACACGACAAATATGGCCTAAAAGCAATAGAAGGATAAAGAGATCAGCTAAACGATAAATCACCCCATATACTCAAGCCAATGGCAAACGATCATACCGGCCTTTCGTGCCGAAAACAAATACGCACCTAGTCATCTGCCGAACACGCTTGATGAAAATCGAACCCGAGAACTTAAGTACAAACGAAAAGATAAACAAGAAGGTTAATTTTCTTAGCAAAGTTGCTCTTGAGCGACCAAGAATTTCTTAATCTTTGTTAAACTGAAGTAAAAACGTCCACCGACATAAGTACTCTGCTGAGAAGGAAAGGAAAAATTGTGAGTGGGTTATAAGTATAGATGCGAGTTTTTTTTTCATGACGATACTAAAATGCCAACAAAGACTTACAGGAAAATCCGAGGAGCTGGATCCACATCTTGGAAAAATTTACGAATGACGAGGCGAAAATTTTCTCACGAAGAAACAAGAGCGAAAGCGAGCCAACAATATAGTTTGTTTTCCTGTTTATCGCTCGAATAGAATCATGGGAGTAGAAGCCAGATTCTATCTTAGTCAGCGGCGATGTGTTCATGGTTTATATGTCTGTGTAAGAACCCCCCATGAAACCTGTGTGACATCTTTTTTTTCGGTTATCGCAGCTAAAGCGTGAAAAGGGGAAGTGATGTTGGTTTCTTAAAGACTTGACTGGAATAGGTAATTCGTGAAGTACACGAAGAGAAAAGTTGATTACATATATAACAGTTTATCATGGAGTCCTTGGAAACACGAGGGCAACCGCCACGTAGGCATGATCCGGTGTTTTGAAAATTTAGATGCTCAAAGGCCATTGAATTTACTTTGGTTCCTGTGAACTACTCTACCCCTTAATTTCAACATGAGAGTGCATACAAGAAGCGTTCTTCTGGTCGGCATTCTCTGTTCCGTACTGTTTATCTTCTCTTTGGAACTGTGGCCGCCTCTTTTCAGTGACGACGAAACTGAAGTGAATTCTAATTCCCCTTTGGTCGACAGTGATGTTTCCGAAATTCGTTTGAAGATTGGATCGCCGGTTCCCGATGAACGAGATTCAAAGTGTTTAATGCACAACTGTTTTGACATTTTTCGATGTAAAGTCAACGAAAACAAACTGATATCCGTCTACGTATATCCAGACACTCGGTTCTTGGACGAGGAAGGAAAAACAATAAACAAACCAATGTCGCAAGAATTCTATGAACTGCTGACAACTATTGCGGAGAGTAAATACTATACTCCCGATATCGGAAAGGCTTGCATTATAGTTCCTTCAATTGATACTTTAAATCAGAAAGGCCTCGATCTTAGATGGACGGCCAGAAGTCTTGCAGAGTTACCCAGGTAAGGTTTGATTGTCGTTTACGTTACATAAAGCATGATTTACTCGAACGTCCTGATGGAGAGTAGTAACAATCACTTACAAAACAAAAAACTGATTTTAGAAACTTATATGAAAGGTCTTCATGTCCAGGACCATATTTGTTATTGTTACTACCACTTGACAAGGAAATTTCAAGGAAATCTGCATGTTAGTAACATTTTCACGTGCAAGTCAACGGACAATCTGTCCCTGTTAATCTTTATTTGCTCTTGTAACAGAAACTACCATTTTTATAGGAAAGGTTTAAGTCATTTCACTTTAAGGGGGCAGTGAGGGCTTTTGAATACTGCATAGGGGAGGAAAATGAAAAAGTAAGTTGCAACTATGGCTAAAAAAATGATCCAATAGTACAGTAAAAACAGATATATTGTGTCAACATTTAATTGAATTCTGCAATTGCTGCTGTGAATTAAGGTTAGATAAAACCAGATCATATTATTTTTACTGACAAAAGCATTAAAGGTGCAAGGAAAGAGAAAGGGTTAGACCCAATTTCTTAACAGAGTGAGATATTATCAGTTATTTGTGAAACCCTTTGAATGTAATTAGAATATTGCTGCTTTCTGGGCTGGATACATTACATGCAAGGGATTGCCAATTTTTTTATCTGTCAATCTGGATTTAAAAGGCTGACTACTTCTTTTCTTGATAAAACATTTTAAGTTGGAGTGATGGTGGAAAAAATCATTTGTTATTTAACATGCTGCCTGGTGGTGCACCTGAGTACAATTCAACGCTAGATGTTGCTACTGATAAAGCTATCTTGGCTGGAGGGGGTTTTGCAACTTGGAGTTACAGGACAGGATATGATGTTAGCATTCCTGTGTTTAATCCGCTCACAAATAAAAAGGTTGTCCTGCCACAGAAAAGGTCAGTGATTTAGAGAGTAAAAATGGAAAAGTAATAATCAATGATAATAATTTATTATGATAATACCTGTAACAATAGTAGTTTGGCAGACATTGTTTTATCACACTTAACTGATTATCATATTATGTTTGAAGGTGAGCTAGCCACTGTTGTAATCTTAGAAAGAAAATATTTCAAACATCAGCTCCCCCTTGCATGTAGGAATAATACACAACCTTAAGCTCTTTGAGATGCACTGTGGTGCCTGAATTGCCACAATTTATTAACTTATGTCAGTGCTTCACTCACACGCTGATTGATATAACACAGAATTTTCTTGGGATGATTGCCATATTAGCTTAGCTCTAAGGAAGCAGACTGAATTAACCCTTTAACTCCCAGAAGTGGTCAACATGCAACTTTTCTGAATAATATCCATACATTATTTAGTAAACAGGTAATGAGAATACTCAAACTTTTTAGGCAGAACTTTTCAACTAGATGTAACACCTACTTGTAACTAATTTGCAAGAAAATGTGTAGCAGCTAGAGGGGAGAATTGAAACTCAGCTCTTGGGAGTTTAAGGGTTAATCTACTGTGGATCAGTGGTATATGCACGAGAATGGCTCTAGGGAGGCACAAGTTTAGCACTATCTTTTTATTAGACCAACATCAAGGCCTACATTTTATTTTTCCAAAAAATATCCTTGAGAGGAGGTTACCCTCCAAGGTATCACTCCATGGTCAATGCATTATTGCCCAGGCTCTGTTACAGATAAAGGTAATTATAATACATTCAACTCACCATCTCTTTTCTGCTTGGCCAAAAGCATAGAGTGAATTTGCATGTCAAGTTCCCATGCGCTGTTTTGCATGCTGATTTGTATATTTTTACATGTTTAGATTATCAGTTCCACTTAATGTTGTGACCACTTTGGGTTTTTTTTTTGTTTTTTTGTTCAGTGTATAATAAAATAATTATTAGATTTAGTTTTTGTGATATCCAGAATAATCAAGGTCGAGATAAGGGGTTATCAGCCGAAACCTTTGGCTTCAGCTGACAACTCCTACCTCAAACTTGATTATTCTGGATATCACAAAAACCTCATCCAATAATTGTTTATTTTTGGTAGCAAACAGAGGAATGGTTGACTCTGTGTAATTTTTGTGCTTGTTGAGCAGAGATGCCAAGCAATGGCACTTTTCCCTCTTCTTTTTTTGTCTTTGACAATTTTGGGTCTTTGTTTAGAATAGATTTTGTCATTTTTTGACAATAAGCCTTCAGGTAACACCTATCTTTATTTGAAAGAAGGCTTGAAGTAAATTGTCTCAAAATCTCATAGGTTGCAAACTATTAGCCTTCAGTTATTGGGAAACTTTATGGTAATTTGAAATTTAGAGGAATTTTCATATACTGGGATGATTTTCTTTTGCAGGGCAAGTGATTGGTTGTTTTTGTCATCCCAAGCAAATATGAACCATCTCTTCAGAAGACAGCTGGAAGAGATTGAAAGGGATAATTCAGGCTTCTTGATCCTAAAACGCTGCCCTGATGATCCTAACAATGTGTACAAGAGATGCAAAGGCTCAGAGACTTATCAGTATCCAGAAATTTTGCAAGTGAGTTTTCACTTCTACTAATCTAATAGTTCCATAATTGCTCTTACAAAGGGCTAACTCTTGTCATGTTAGCTTTAGAAGCTCTAAGCTCTCACATTGTCAACTCAGTTAATTAAAACAACATTGTCTTGGAATTGACTCTCTCCCCCCCTGACCTCTCCACTAATGCAGCATAATAGTTTCTTGAGAAACTTACTCCCTTTATACATTTACTGGTTCCTCTTGTGGTTTTATTGTATTTTCAATCATTGATGTTTTGCAGTCTTATTTATCTTATTTATCTTATTTAATGTCCTTTGGAAGGGAAAAAAATTTTGATATACAGTCATGTATTTGCATAGAGAGAGTGATATTCTTGCCAGTGGAAAATTAGTCAGTTTGATAAACAGTTGTGAGTTTTTACCAAAAAATTTGAATTTTCTGAAGTTCTTGAATCTGGCTTTTATTATTTTTCTCACCTCATGTTGGTGTTATAGTCTAATTCCAGCCAAGTCGCCCACGCTGAATTGCCCACTTTAACTGCTTACATCAACTTGCCTATACTTAAAATTACTTTTCTGTTGCCTTTAATCTTTCATATTCTACTATTCAAGTATTGCCTAAATACTTACTATTTTTGCAAATGAAATTATTCTTGCTAACAAGACACAAAGCTTCAGCTTTGACTTTTGAGTTAAAATGGCTGCCTTTGGTCTCTCTCCAGTCCTGCCCGATATCATCTCCTATCCTGTTTTTTGCCAACATGTAGAATTTTTTTGTGGCTCAATTATTTCTTATTGTGGCATGAAAGTATTGCCCAGTACTCTCTGATGGTGTCTCAATACAAGAATGATTCTCACTTCACTGAAAAATTCTAAGCTTTGGCTTTTCAGCTTCATGGGCAAGTTTGTGAGCGCAGTTTGGTATGTGGGTGACTTGATTGGTTACCCTATAATAATATATATTATACCTTGTATAATCATCAGTAGCCAGCCAGCCAGCCACATGTAGCTTACTCTCCAACTCTCCAATGATGTTCAAACCATGTACTTGACATGTCAACAAATATATATATTATTGTGAATAGAAAAGAAACAGGTATGTTAATTAATTTCTTGTAAACTTCTTAATTGATATTTTGCCTAACACTGCTTATTTTAGCATGCTACCTTCTGTCTGGTTATTCGAGGGGTCAGATTGGGTCAAACAACTCTGCTGGATGCTTTGATGATGGTAAGCTTTGTCACTGTACTGATGAATGAATATTGAATTTTCTTCATGAAAAAATTATCAAGTGTTGGAGGAATTAATGTCTAAATAAAGACCAAAGAATTTTAAATTAATTGATTTTTCAAGCTTTTCAGGCAGGTTTTATTATGCTTTAGTCAGTTAAAAAAGCTTGCATACTTAACTTAAAAGGTAATTTTGATAATCAGACATCTTTGGCCAAAATCTCCTTTATTCAGGATTGTATTTTCTTTGACACATTGGGTTAGGAAGAGGTGGACGGGGGAGGGGGGGGCTGGAGAAAATCAGTTTTGTTCTGTGAAGAAGAAGACAGCAACAAGAGTTTCTCTACATTTTTAGTAATTTTATATGCTAACTACCATTGCTTTTTTTATTTGCAAACTTTCTTCTTTGTGTTTTGTGCAAGTTAGGTCTTCATATAGATAAACATGAGACAACTGCCCTAAAATAATTACACATCCTGCTCATGAAAATATGTCTTGGTTATATGCCCAGTGTTCTCCTTTCTTTTAAGCAGGAAAGGTAAAAGAAATTTTAAAACCAGAAGAGCAACCTTTTTTACATTTTCTTGTTGAATTTTCAAGAATTCCTAATGATTTCAGGTGGTAATAAGGGTTATTTCAGACGGTGAATTTTACCAGTTATTACCTGAAAAGGAGAATAGTTTATGCCACCTCTTATATTGGGTCTTTTCCTTTTCTTCAGGGCTGCATTCCAGTGGTCATAAGTGATGACTACATTTTACCTTTCTCTAGTGTGTTAGATTGGAAAAGGTAATTAAAAGTAACTATTTCTTCTGCTTTTTATTGTAATTTGGTATATTCCACATAGAGGAATAGTGCTTTTTGCACATGTTGATTGGTTAGTTTGGGAGTAATTAGCAAGTACAGTAGAAAATAAATGTTTTGAGTTAGCTGAGAGTAAATGACCAAAAAAACGGGTTCAAATGTGTCAGAGAAAGTGGTGGCCGTCTACTTCCACTTCGATGAATAATTTAATTGTATTCAGGTGATCATGCTCAGAATATCGGTCACTGCAAATGAACAACTTAATATTGATCACAATGTTATTCATAAAGGGCTTATGAAGCAAGCTAGTGCTGCTGAAAGCACAAACTCTCTTGGTGCTCAACTTGAAATTCCTTTTTATGTCTTATTGTTTCATTACACAATTGTATGAGTTTCTCTTTTGATCTCAAAATCTTCCTAGAATTTTTTACAACAATGGTCTCTGTGTTTCGGTGTGATTTAGATTTTACTAGTCATCACTCTATTTGAGGTTAATTTTGGCAAGAAAATGCTTAGTGTAGCATCATTGTGTAATTCACTGTCAGTGTCAGTATACAGCTAGGATGGAGTGTACATGATCCAGTTTTGTGCTTTTTGTCATAGGGGAGCAGTTCATGTGGTGGAGAAAGAGATCAATCGCATCCCTGCCATTTTAAGAGAGATATCATCAAGTCAAATTAAAGACATGAGAAGACAGGTATTATTGTAATAATTTACAGAGGCTGAATTTTACATTAGTGTGTATATTCTTCATAGTGTTCTCCAAACATTTTATAAGATGCTTGCAAAGAGAATTTGTTGAGAGCTTCTTTAGTGTATCATCACTTTCTTTATATTTCTGAGCTTAATGTGTGATTATGTCAAGAGAAATTAGATGCCAGTCACTCTTAGGGGTCAGAGGGTTAAGAAGTCCCCTAATTTCTCACTCCCAGACAAATCCACTAGAGAAAGACGACTTATTTGTCCTACCAAATGGCTCATTGGTGAGACCAAAGTATTTCCCCTGCAGTTATGATTCTGTGTCTTTCAGCAACTTATGTGCAGAGTATGAATAAGTACTGCTAAATGTACATTGTACAAGGGACAGTTTGCTGTATACACTAGAGCACGCAAGACAATTGGAAAAATTGGAAAAATTGGAAAAATTACAATGCAAACATGCTTGAGTAATGGGAGATCATCTCTTAAAAACAACATTAAAAGTGAGGCAAATAGAATTTTAACTATTCAAGAGGAAAAATTTTCTTAGTGTCATAGGTATTTTAGTCTTGGTTTGTTCATTAAACTGCCTTTTATCTCAATGTTATCTCCTAACTGTGAATATCATAAATTAGTGCAAGAGTCACTTTAAAACCTGTTTCAATATCTCACAAATTCATAAATTTATGGTCTGAAGTTTCTTCTGCCTTGCCCATGTAGTCTCTATTAGTGTATGGGATGAGGCCATGTTTGTAAAAGTACAATTGATATCTGATATATCTTTATTTCATTATTATTATTATTATTATTATTATTATTTATTTTGATAGGGTAAATGGTTTTGGGAGAGGTATTTTAGCTCCATGGGCAAGATTGCTCTTACAACTATGAAAATTCTGAATGACAGAGTGTTCCGCTACACGGCTTGGCAGTATGAGGTAAACTACATTACTCAAAACACGCGCATAAAACGTGCATAAATTTGAAAGTAAGTGCGTTTGAATAAAACCCATGCATGTCTCAATTGCGCATATGCGCGTATAATCATTTATCCACCTGTTTCGTTAGTATGTATGAGCTAGCTAGATTTTCTTTTGCTGAAAGGTAATTGTTCTAAAGAATAGGCTAATAGCACTAAAATACTACATCATTATGAACTGCATGTCGACTTGTTCGTTTCAATCACCGCTCGAGCCGACCTTCCCCGCACACGGTTACATACGTATGCGACTTCGAAATTGGAACTACATACAAAGTAAAATGCTGTCCATTTTTAGTCAAGAGGATATCTTCCTTACCATACGATGGAAGTCAGTGGCACTTATATGATATTCAGTATTTTGAAGTGAATGGTTGTTCATAGAGCTTCACAAATAAGATAATTTTTTATCATTTGAGAGCAATTCGTGTCCAAGTTTTGCCATTACATAAGGCAATTTGAATAAACGTAGATATTTATTGTTCCTTTTCTTGCCTTTTAGGACTGGAATGTCCCTTTTGAGACTTCCTCAGGGAAGGAAACGGTAAGTATTTAATCAACTTTTTTCAAGTGGCTACTATGTTGCGTTATGAAAACTTGAAATCCGGAACTTTTCGATGAAACTAGGAATTGTGCTGTCATAAAATACGATTCAGTGAGAACCTCCGTGAGATAAAGACCTATTTTGTGGTTCAGACAAAGAGAATGGCTACCTAGAAAGAGTATGCTTACAGTTGTAATCATTAATTGTAAACATTCCTTGATTTCAAAAGGCAACCTTTCTTCTTCCACTGTTTTTCCCGCTACGCCCGTACACAAATCAAGGATTTACCGCAGTGGTGCTGTGTTATGACAGAGTAGATACCATGTTTAAAGTTATCACAAGAATCGCTGACACCCCCAGTTTGACAAAGGTAGGTTATTCAAAACGTTTATTCAGAGTTCTCTCAAACAACTTTGTCTCCTGAAACTGCTTTTATCATATTTTGTGAGGGGCAACTAAATTTAACTTGGATGAGACTGCAAAATGTTAGCTTAACAAGATGAAAAACACAGAGGAGGATAAAGGAACAAGGATTGCTAAGGATGGAGAAGATTAAAACAAACATAAAATAACGAAGTGTAAAACCTTGGGCAAAACTCATCAAGGGGCATATAACGCAATGTAGCTCCTTTAGAAGGCTGCGAACGACCAAGAGAGAAAAAAAATATCAGTCGATTGATTTCTGGAGTTCTAATTCTTTCTCCTTCCGCTTTCAGATTGTAGTTGTTTGGAACAATGTCAAAAAGGCTCCTCCCTCTGGTGAGTTGAGTAATATTCCACCTCTTCCTTTGGGCTCTGTACAGGGGAGCAGAGATAGCGCGCTAGCGAGTGCATTCGCTTCCCACGGTTGTTGTTCGTGTAGCGGACGGCAACGGGGATACTAAAATCAGCAAAAGGATTGGGGAGAGAAAGCCATTATTGTTTCTTTTCTTTTGGCGGTGTTTAAATTCAAGATTCAGATATCAATAGTATTGAAATTCAATAAAAAAGGTTGTAGGAACTGAAACAGAATATATTGGTTTTGGAGCTAAAACCCGCACCGCTATTACTTAGGTGATTTTGAAATATGGCTTCGGGTACGTATTTGTGGGTTAATTTTTTGGTTGGTTTTCCTCCCGTGCTATAAGTGGGTCATTCGGTTTTTCTCCTTCCACAGAAACCAAACTTCTTAATTCCAATGCGACGAGCAAACAGTGAACTAAAAGCCGTTTGATGGATTTCCCCTGCTTTTAAGATTCGATTTACTTCTGTGATTTGGCAGGTTTACTATGAGATTTTACATGTCTAATAGTTGTTTACCCCCTTATAGCTGCCAAGTGGCCTCAATTATCAAAACCAGTAAAAGTCGTCAAGACGAAAGAAAACAAACTTAGCAACAGGTACATACAATGTAAAGAAATCTTAATAATCTAAATCGTTTAGACCTCAATTTCCAAATATTACCTCCATATTGTCGTGGATTGATCTGTCTGTCGTATGTGTTTATAAACGATATATACTTCTTTGTACGTTTATTTGTGATTTGTCAGGTTTTTCCCATACAAAGAGGTTGAAACAGAAGCGATTCTTGCCATCGATGACGACATTCTAATGCTGACGCCGGATGAACTGGAATTTGGTTTTCAAGTAAGTATCTCCAACAAAGTTTATTTCTTGAATATCTAAGTTGTATCCGTAGCATTCCCCAACCGTCATGGTGATCGTGATCGGAAGGTGCTGTTTTATTTCGTCTTTTACAATAATTACTAGTCAACCTTGGTACCAAGCTTCTTTCTTTTCCTTCCTCAAGGGTATTACTTATGATTCGTTAGTGACAGATCGTCCTTGCTAATATGAATAGCGAATAAATTTGTATGCCAAGTTGTTCTTAGGGCAGTCTTGATAGCGTAAATGCAGCTAAAAGTTAAGCATCCATCTGTAAATTATTGACATTATCAGTTACTACTTTGACACCGTTTAACTCATCACAACTTGGAGTGCCCATGACAAGAATTTTTTTTGCGCATTAATTTAGCCTATCATATGTACAAACCAATTCGATAGGAGAAAATTCTCAAAAAACTTTAAACTGGGTTTTTTCGGGCCCAAAAGAACTCTTATTTTGTCTTAAAGTGGCTGTAGACTGGTAAAGAGTTAGCGGGCGATGACGTAAAAAACTTTGAAAACTCGTAATAGTTAGCGTTTAAGTCTTGAAATAATGCCCGATAGCGATGTATACATACCTTCAGCAAGCTCCACCGGAAGTTGTGATACATCGTAACCAAGTGGTGAAGAAGAAATGGAAGTTGCGAGTACGGTTCAACCTGAAAGAGGACCGCATGCATCAAGCGAAGATTTCGACGAGTACTAGCTAAGACGGTTTCTCGAGATTAGGACAAAAATGTCCCGTTACTAAATGCTTAGTTCCGCTCACCTTTGTTCGCTTGCAAAATGGCAGCAGAAAAGAATGTGAAACAATCGTGTCCGGTGTGGGAACGGGCCCCGTAATCAGCTTCCTTTTTAGCTGAATTCATTGGCCATCTTCCCCTGATTTGATCAGTGACATGTATTCGTAACAGCCGTCTTCGAAGCGGAGGGAGCATAAGGCTGACGACATTGAAGAGTAAAATCTCCTCGATGTCGACGATCGGAACGTGTCCATTTTGGCCATATACCTTCATCTTTGGAAAGAAGTGTTCAGAAATATCCTGTGTATGTGTATTATTCTTTTAGCTGACATCATTTGGCGCTCCGCTCGCGCAACACGTTCGTTCTCTCTTCTTGATTTCTCCTTTCTCCACCATAGTTGCGAACGTGTCTTCTGTCACGAAGCCAGGAGACGATTCTTGTTTTCCTTTTTAAACACTTTATTATTTGTCTTAAACTTCTGAAAACCTTACGATCTCGAACCTTATTTATAGTAGCCGATTACATCATACTTATTTCTGAAACACTATTTTCAGAAGCAAGAACATTCTAGACGCTAATGATGCCATATTCTTTAAATAACTCAATAGAATGTTCCGGAATATGAAGAAGTTTCTAGCTCAGCTTATGCAATAGCGTTATGGTAAATCAATGTTCTATTCATTTCTGGAGACTTCGTTACACTTGACAGTTTGCTACATCACAGTTATGTAACATGATCGTTTTGGCCACGCGCTAAAATTCGGACACTTTTTGGCTGCCAAATCGTACCCTCAATGTGCAAAAAAAGGTCATGGAGAACTCGCTAGGCGTTAAGGTCGTTAGAAACAACAATCAGCCAGAAAACGCAAAAAAAAAAAAAAAAAAAAAAAAAAAAGAATTCGTGTCAAAGGGATATTCTCCGCACTGTTTCCATACATCCCCAATGGAGCTGACAAAGAGAATCTGTTCAACCATTAAGGGTTTCTTTAGTTGGTGATTATTTCCTTTACTCTCGTGACCTTGAATATGTGATTCAGGTGTGACAGCGTTGGGAGAAATTAGGTGCTGGTCACTCTTCGGGGTCAAAGGGTCGAGCACTCTTCGGGGTCAAAGGGTCGAGCACTCTTCTTTTCCTCGTGAATAAACAATCATTATGCATTCCTTATGACCCCGTGAATGAACAAATCATTATGCTTCATTATTCAGACTTGGAGAGAGTTTCCTGACCGTCTTGTGGGATTCCCTGGTCGTGTTCACACCACTCAAAACGGCACAAATCGGTTCAAGTATGAATCAGAATGGACAAACACTGTATCCATGGTACTCACTGGCTGTGCTTTTCATCATAAGGTAACAAAGTGAAATGTGTGTCTCTGTAGATCATCGAGGCTTTTTGAAATTTAGTTTAACAAAGGGGCGCTCACGGGAGAAAAAGGGGATTATTAGGTTACTTACTAAAAGAGCTATAGTATGTTATGAGACGTTTTCCGACTTTTGAAAAAAAAAGCTACCTTTACTGTAAAAAAACTGAAATTACTTTTTTCCCATAGTAGAAAAGCGTTATTGAGGGAAAAATAAGAAAAAAGTCCCTAAGACTGTAGGCTGCATGGGAGACGCGTTGACATGGCGAATAGGCGGCCTTCGAACCGAAAAAGATTCAGTTGAGCCCCGGCCGGGTTAGACTAAGAGCAGTCTCTCCTTTTCGACGAACTCCGTCGCGTGAGTCAAACAAAAGAGAAGCAGTGAAAAAAAAATTGATGTCAGAGTTCCACGCGGCGCTGTGCGGCGCCTTCTATTTGCTCTTTTTCATCAGGAGTTGTTGGACTTATCCCTTAGGCGTCTCAACTTTTCATCTTTCCTCGAATAAAACGGTCTTCAATTATGACTTCTGACGCTTTCTATTTAACGGATCTAAATGAAAAGATGGAACTATTAGCTGCTGCCTCTGATCTATTATAATTTCTGTTGCAAAGCTAGGCTTAGAGGACACAGACAAAGGAAAATTAACAATTATGTTTACTCATTTCCTTGGTTTGCATCCTCTAAGCCATGCTAATAGGCCAAATTTTAATATATTCATGACCTAATTCAAAAGGCGTTATGCATTTTGTGTAAACCTCGTGTCACTTGCTAGTCAGCCATGAAGGTATTTCCATCTTGGTGGAAGTAGTGTGGAAGAGTGGTCAGGGCGCTGGACTTGTAATCTGGTGGTCCCGAGTTCAAGCCCTTCTCCCTGCTACTGAATGGATTGTTCTCGGTTGCCCCGCGTTTAACTTCTTGGTGGCACTTTCTAAATAGACAACTAGTCTGCCTTCAGCCAATTGGGATTTTTAAACTCCAGGTTTATTTACAATGTTTTTCTCAATTTGTCTGTGTTGGCCCTGGAAAGTCCTATTGAGTCAGTGTTCAATTCAGGTTATCATCATCATTATTATTACTACTATTAGTGTTGTTATTATAATTATTATCTTATTCCATTCTTTTTATCACACAGTACTTTAGCCATCTATTCACCTACATGATGCCTGTCTATATACGAGACTGGGTTGACCAACACATGAATTGTGAAGACATTGCCATGAACTTCATGGTCTCCAACTACACTGGCAAGGCACCGATTAAGGTAAGTTTTAATTTCAATATCCTGAATCTTGAGTTCACATTGTCGTGGCTCAGGACAATGAAGCATTTTATTTTCTGAAGGATTCAAAACAATGACAACAATAAAGATGCTCTACCGCGTAGCTGGTAAGAGAGTTTTTGGTTACAAGAAAAGTCATTGAAACACATTATGCGTCGTGGCGAGGACGACCAGAGATACTACCGCCTCCTAACCATTGAAAAGGGGGGGTTATTTTGTCTGAAGTGTGAGATTCTTATGTCACACTTTTCTTGTAAACTACTTGGATCAACCATGTCAAAAATGTTTTTTGTCATCTTATCTGCTGGTTTAGCTCCAGTGCGTCTCTTGTCTCGGCCTCTATCTGCTCGTTTTCCTAATTCTTCTCTTTTATCTCCATCCTTAAATGAGTTCGCTAATTTTTTATATTTTTTTAAAGGACTCTCAAATGAAGAGTGTTTATTTTATACACTAAGAGTTATTTGTCATAACACTCTAACTCTTTTCAACCTAACCATTTCGCTAGAAATTTCGGATTAATTTGAGATTCTCACATGCATAGGTAACCCGTAGAAAGCGTTTCCGCTGTCCGGAATGTGTGACTGAATCATTGTGGGCCGATCCGAGCCATTTCGTGGAGCGATCAGAATGTTTGAACGAGTTTGTCCGAGCTTATGGTCAAATGCCGCTTCAGACGGTCGAGTTCAGAGCTGACCCGCTGCTGTTTGGCGAGAAACTTCCCACTAAATTAAAACTATTTAACGATGTTGGAAGCATTTAGGAGGATTGAAGTTAAAAAATATGAATGTATTTTGGTAATCAAGAGTAAGCAGGTAATGCATATTCTTTTGTCGATCCAGGGACTATGGTAAATTATTGTAAGATAAAGTCTAAACTTTAATAGAACATGGAAAGAGAGAGAAGATAGGAGAGAAGTTAGTATAAAAATGGAAGGAAAAGGCGGGCTAGTCCGTGTGCACTTCCTTGTAATCGTCTACATAGCCACATTGAGACCACGTTGAGAGCGCGAAAAAATATTTCGGGTTCTCTAAAACAAGTGACTTTATCATCCTTTTCCTTGTACAGGTGTTTTTACAGTTTCTTTTTTTTCTTAAATAGTCTCAGGAAAAAAACCTCTATGTGTCACTTCGCATCACGTTAGGTTGTGTTTACTCATATCGTAAAAATTCTACCTTGAAACAATGGATTTAAAGAGGCTTACATGGAGTTTGTTTCTGTAATTGGAAAAAAAAAGTTGTTTTTTTTGGTTTTTTAGGTTTCAAATTTTCTCTCCATCATATATATTTGGCTAAGAGTTATACCACATATTTTAAACCTCGTCGATGATATTTATTGCATGTTACATAATGTATCTCCACTTTTTATTCCGGATTATAAGATTAATCTCGAATTTTTGTGGTGCTTTTAATGTTAAATTTGTGCCCCTACCAAATAAAAGCGATGGAATTATGGAGTAAATAATCGATTTGTATCTGTCTATATGCTCGTTGAGTTCACATTATTTTCTACCCAACCCGTTAAGAAAACAACGACAATAAGCAAGCCTAGCTGTGAACCCCCAAAATAATTTGTTTTTTGTTAGTTTGTTTTTCATTGTGCGTTACTAGGCATCATTCCCGTCCGTAGAGATCACTCTTCGTCGCCAGAGTTGGTATCTTACTGCGTGATTCCCATACAACTGAAAAGCCCTTGGATTATAAGGAAAAGTGAAGATGACTCCTGTTTGTCCGTTGTGAAGAATTGACTGTAATTCTGTTACGTGACGGTGAATTATGTCGAATGACAAATGGTGGTTAATGGTAAATACATATAAATAATAACGATAATAACACAACTATTTAAATAGCACTTAATACAAAAGTTCTAAAGCGCTTTACAGCAATAATAATAAAAAGTAAATAAAAAAATATAAGTAAAAATTTAAAATAGCTTAAAATATAAAATATTGTTTAAAAAGACAAGTTTTCATAGATGACTCAAAGTTAGTAACACTGAAGGTTTGCTTTATATAACTGAGAAGATAGGTTCCATAATTTGGGGGCACATAGAGAGAATGCTCTGTCTTCATATACATAAGTTTCAGATTTGATGGAGGAACTTGAAGTTGAAAACTAGGTGAAGACCTTAATCGCCTATTTGGAGTGAGGTTACTAATGTAACAAGGAGCCAAGTTATTCAGTCTTTAAGGTTATCAAATGTAGTTTAAGAGCAATACAATGTTCAATCGGCAGCCAATGAAGCTCTCTGAGTAATGGTGTGATATGATCATATTTGCAGCCACCTAAAATTAAGCCAGCTCTGCATTTCTGCACAAGCTGTAATTTTATATAAAAGGCAACGAGGGAGACCATACAATAAAGAATTACATTTGTCAAGTCTTGAGGTAACAAAGGCATTATTGACTAAAATCTTCGTATGCTCGGTAGATAAAAATTTTCTAATACGATAAATATTAAGTATATTAAAATAACAAGACTTGCAAATATCAGTAACATGGTGCTCAAAGTTCAGTATAATGTCGAATGTGACACCAAAGTTCCTGGCGTACTCAGATGGCAGAATCACGGATCCATCATCTAGGGCGACAGGTGGGAATCGCAAAGTCGGTCTAAATTGGGACCCGATAATCAGTAGTTCAGTTTTATTAACGTTTAACTTCAATTTATTCTACGAAATCCAGGAAGAAATATCAAGTAAACAGGCTTTAATGCGAGAGACTACCGACAAACAGCAAGAAAGGAGAATCGAAAGAAAAATAACAAATCTGCGAGTCATCTGCGTAAAAATGAAACTCCATTCCATTTTGATGTAATATGTCATCCAGCGGAGAAGTAGAATACACACAAAGTATATCTTGTAATTTAGCGTTATCAACTGAGTTGAAAACGTAAATTGGCCACCTTAAAGAATAAAATAGCTGACGTTTCGAGCGTTAGCCCTTCATCAGAGCGATTCAATTCCCATCGAAGGGCTAACGCTCGAAACGTCAGCTTTTTACTCTTTACGGTGGCCAATTTACGTTTTCAACTCAGTTGTTAACACTAAATTGCCTTCTATACTCTCCCACTGACGCAGCACCACAGTTTCTTTAGAAACTTACCCCTTTATTCAAAGTATATCTTGGTGCGACCGATCGTCCAAACGTGAGAGAAAGCTTGTTTCTAGGTTGATTGTGTTATTTCTTTGCTCGAAACATTAACTATGAATTTCTGCTGTCTTCTCAAAAATTGTTCAGCATCCGCTCTCACACTTCATAAATGTTGATCACACAATGTTTTAGCTTATATGAATCTTTTAACTCTAGAACTGGCAACAACTGACCATTGTTCCGTCTTGAAAGCGAGGTTAAGCCGCGAATTATTTGCCACGTTGCCGAGTGTGGAGTATAATTCTTCCTAACACGTATGGTATTCCACAACAGCGGAATTCTCCCCTTTAATTACAACGTTGTTTCAGTTTGACATCCTCAAATACCTCTACTTCATTCCTGGTTTTTTGCGATTAAATACTGGTACAATAAGCTCGAGGAAAGAGGTAAGGTGTCTTAAATAGTTATGCCCTAACTTCACCAATTTTTTCTCGGATAGGTTTCAGTCTGTCGGGATTTCTCCAGGGGAATGATTTTTAGGGAGTTTTCTTTTTAGATCTGTCAGTGAGCTTTTAGGTTTGTGTTTTATGAAGATGTGTACGTGCAGATAAATGCAATCTCCGTTGGCATAAATTTTTACATCAATCGCCGAAACATCTGTAATTAGCTCTGGTTAACTTTTGTTTGTCTGAAGCATAAAAAAGGTAAATAATCTCACATCCAGAGTTAAGCAAAAATTTTTAAGTGATCGATGGGTCCAAAAATTACGAATAAATCCAATCTTAATGTTGCGAAAACTTTTGGCTATTTTTAAATCGTAAATTCAGAAAAAAATACATTTTCTCATATGGACCGGTCGGGTCCTGATGTGGGATATTGTTAATAATCATGTTGTTAATAATCGACGAATTCGGTGCAAATATCTAGTAAGACTGAATATGTGGTTGTGCTTAGGAAGGTGTGTAGATATTTTTTGTTTAGAAAAAGCTCTGTATGTTATATGTGAAGATGAAAAGTCTACTAGTTTTATATCATACTTCTGTTATTTTCCTAATAACAGTTGTTTGCAATGACAGGTGATAAACTTCGTTTGTTCACAAGAATTACTATATACTTGGAACCAATCAAGGTCCAGTCCCAGTTTCTTTTATTACAATAAGTTATGATGAGGAAGTAGAACTGGAGAGATTTGGCTATCTTGTTCATAATAATGTTAGCTGTGAGAATTGTGAAGTATTCTATTTGCTAGCATTGTTGAGAGTTAAATTAATTGTGGAGCCTAATTGGTCCAATATTAACATTTTATATGTGGTTACTTGCCATTGCAAATTATCACAAAAAATATCAATTCTGGTAAGTATACTGGGTAGATCTTATGATATTAATTTTGTTATCTGTTTCAATGACAAAATTATGAAATTAATGAAAATGTTTGTTGTTTCTAATAAGAGCAGTACAGAATTGGGTATCATTTCCTTGGTTGTTCTAAAATGTTGGACCCCAAATTTGTTCATCAACAACATTACACCTCTACCATTCTAGGTAAAATGAAAGTCAAAGACGTTAACAGAACAGCAAATATTGCATGGAGTCCTGCACCTCAGTACCCAATCTACTTAGCAGCAGGAACGGCTGCCCAGCAGCTTGATGCTACATTCAGGTATATACCATAATTTATATCTCAACTAAAATTGGTTTGTGGATCACTTTATACTTGGTAGCATGTTCTTTGGTAAGGATTTGGAAAATCAAAGAGTAGTGATATTAAACAAAAAAAAAAAGAATAAAGGGTTTGATTTTTAAACAAGATATGTTCCTATCATATTACTGTTATTGTGGGTTGCAAGTTGTTAAAGACATTTTTGTATACCAAAAATCTATTAGTTGTGTTTGAAACGTGAAAGACCAAAAAAAGGGACCAAGAGAAAATTTGAAAATGAAAGATGAAATGACTTGTGGAGAATTTGAATTTTTTTTATATGAAAATGGGTCTTTGTTGGATAATAGGGTATCTTTGACCCTAAATCCAAATATTTTCACTCCTGCGAGGAATAACTTTAAGAATATTAAGTGGAGCAGGATTTGTCAAATGTAGTTAGTAAAACTTGGAAAACTGACACCATGTAAAATGACCATTGTTCAGTCAAGACAGCAAAGGGATTATGTATATAGGGATAAAAATTCATGAGGTTATTGTAAAAAACCTGAGAACTAGCATCGGTGAAGTTTCACTGCATCAGCAAAATTAATATACATGCTGTAAGGATTTTTATCTTTTACAATACAGCATAGGGTATTAAGCTTCAAGGGGTGTTAAAAATTAATTGTGCAACAATCCCTTTGTTTCCTTGTCTCAAGATGCTTGAAACTCATTTTGAGCACCTCAAAACTTGACTCAAAAGTCTCAAAACTCGACATAAGCCTTGATCCTAGAAGTTTAACCCTTTAACTCCCATGAGTGACCAAAACAGAATTTCTCCTTACAATATCAATACAATATCAACCCAGCAAGTGGTGAGAATAAAGAAAGCTATCAATATGGGGATAATTAGTTGATCCAATACAAAATTCTCTGAACTAACATTATAAGAAT